CACACACACACACACACACACACAAAGAGAATGAGATCCTTCAGAAACATAGCAAGTATAACAACATGCCTGACATCTGAATTACCTGCTTTATAAGGTTAAAGAGGGTGCGAGGGAATTCTTATAACACACGCCATTAAGTAATTATGTTATGATTCTCGTGGAATCATAAGTGGATAAGTGGGTTTATGTGTGCCTGAAAGCTCTTGTATTCATGAGTACATGAAAGTGTGCGTTTGCTTCCTCGGTCAGGAGGTGTGTAGGGTATGAGGTCATAGACATGTACCGGCCTGAGGAGCCCAGCCAGACTATTGTGCGGCCTACGACACACCCTTCAGTCTCCTCCTCACAGCATTATCCATCATTCTGAGCTCATCAACTTTGAGTTTTATTTATTGCTGCTCTCTCTAAATTCTTTACCTTCCTTCCTATTAAAAAAAATGAACACAGACAAGTTTCTAAATAAGTCTGACAGCAAAAAATGCAATTCTTGAAGATGGCCATTGAGCAAGGTGGAATAAGAGTTTTACTGCATGTGGACTCGACTGGTTCTTATATAGCGCTTCTCTACTCTACCTGAAGTACTCATAGTACTTTATACAACATACCTCATTCATGCCCATTCATATACATGCTTTCCATCAAATAATCATAATAATAACACGCATTTACTCTCTGCCCAACCTTCCAACTAGTAGATGACCTGCTCTACCTCCTGAGCTACAGCCACCCCACATGTATCTCTGCTTTCAGGCATTTATCCTATAATATTAGGCTCATATTAGGTCAATAAATTTGACCGACTAATCCTTAAAGTCAGGTTTTCAATACAGAGCAAAAAAAAAAAGTGTTGGGCAATCGACTCTTAATAAGTTTAACGAGGCGTCTCTGAGGAAACTTGCTAACAGCAGCGTTTTCTTTCTCAAATCAAGAACCACTATCGCCACAGAGGAAACATGGAGAAAAAGAGTAAATCAGCCTATGATAAAATTCAGTTTGAGAGTGACAGCATATGCAAATGAAAAGCACGAGACAAATTACACAGATTTGAATCTGATCACTGAGACAAATTTCGGATATTGTCCGGGCTCATTTACGAGCAAATTAATTTCTCTTTCGGATCTTACTGTTATCTTGAGATGTGATTATTTCAAACAAATCGGTACACACAGAGAGAGAGAGAGAAAAGAGCATCTTAAGGTATTAAGATTTGAATCAAAAATAAAATATCTGAAATGTGAAAACAAGGTGGAGAAAAAAAGAAAATGTTCTTTTCTTCTGGGGCAGCATACCACTCAAATAAGACACCAAAACAAAGTAGTTTCCAGTGGAAGTGAACATGGTTACAACATGCTTAAAAAAGCAGTTTATAATAAAGCAAATTCCCAGTTCAGGAAAAGTGCAGATGGGGGTGGGCGGAGGAATAGATAGTTATTTAAAAAGCAGAAAATGAGCTATCTACGAAGGAGAAAATCAATTTTTTCTACCTACTGCTGGAAAAACTGCTGTGGATTTTATGTGATAATCTGCTGAAGTTAGCGCGGTGAACTTCACTGGTGCCGAAGAAAGAAAAACACAGCGTCAGTGGGAGGGTTTCAGACGCTGTTCATCAGACTGACACGTCAGCTGAAACAGTCGTAGCACCTTGCAGGCTGTCGTCGGCCTTGCAAACAGCTAAAAATGACATCACCGCTGCTGACGTGCTGTGCATTTTGCTGTCACTTTAGGCTCTCGATTCTCGTAGCCTGGCTCCTCCACGCATTTCAGCGATATACCGACGCAGGAGCACAGAGGGAGATTGCTGCAACAGTAGGAAGAGTGATTGCTTTGTTTTGCAGTGACTTCAAGCGTGCCTCAAGTGTGTGCATAAACTGTTATGGGGATGACTTGACACCATAGTCCAACATGTCGTTTACAATCGCAGCATTCGTCAGAATCAGTGACATCACCCACGTGTAGGACGACTTTGAGCACAGTGTTCATGGATGAACTGTGCTTAGCCCCATGTTCGTCTTAATTTTTGATAAGGCTTAGACAAGTAGAACTCAAAGGCTGCGCTGCATAAATGGATCCATGTGAGGACAATCACAGTGGTTCATGGAAAGCACAAGAGAAACAGTAGTTAGTGGTTGTAACTTCAGCCTTATGACTATGTGTTTACCCCACTAATGGGCTTTTCTATTGATTGTGTGTGGTGACCAGGTTTGAGTTTGGAGCCCACACCTTGGCTCTGACCCTGTACACACACACACACACACACACACACACACACACACACACACAGAGCTGAAAAGTGTGAGCAGTAGTGAGACAATGACACAATTGTTTTGTCTGCATCTGACTTCTCAGAGTGACCTCATGTTCATCTTTTTTAATTTCCCTTCATATTATGTTTAATCCAAGTAAAAGAAGAAGACTATTGTGCCACCTGCTACAGCAGCGGTGTGAACAAGCGCTAACATAACAGGAAAAGCTGAATCACCGCATGTTCAATCAGACCGTCCTGACCTCAGCTGCAGATCAGACACAGCGACTTTTAGAAGGAATGGTTTGCTTTGAAGTGTTTTGGGAGGGTCAGGAACTGCCCCCGTTTGTTTGGCCCGCATGCTTTTAGTCTAAGTTCGCAGTTCCAGTAAACCCTATTGGCAGCCAGCAATTTCCATTTACACACCATGACAAAGAAGGTTTTACTTTCTCGAACTGGCAGAAACGATACAGAAAAAAATCGAGAATGAGCATGACATTCATCATTTCTCACATTTAATTGGCTGCAGCTTAGACCAAACAAGATTGCACACAGTTCAGGTCAGGACACTTTCTAGTGTCTCTTGTATTTCCCCTTCATCTGGAAAGTGTGGAGAAAAAACCCCAAAAAACAACGAATGTGCCCGCATATCCTGTCTTCCTGTGGTCTGCATTCCCAGGAGGTCTTTTAGGAGGTCATGCTGCAGAAAGATCCCTTTAGCATGATTGCTGGCAGATGTAGGCAATGTGTGACATGGGCACAGTTTTGTTTTCACCCTTACTCGTGTAAAATGTAAACCTTTTGAATTTGTGCTGTATTGTCTTTAAGGTTTCCGATCTTTTTGTTGTTTTTCTTTGAGCCATCAATTTAGTTTGAGAGGTTTGCGTGGTTTCTTTTTGCCACTTCTTCTAAGCTGTCCGTTTGTGATTTGATATTTATATCAAGGTATCCCTTTACGATTTGTGAATTGCCGCCCCGGGCTCCTGTTCCATGAGCATAAGGATGCGCTGTAAACCCATGTGAATGATAACACAGGGCTTTAAAGCCGTACTACAACCCACCCTTCCAGCACCAGTTACACTTTTTTTGCAAACATGTTTATGCTCTGTGTGTACGTGCACGTGTATGCTTGCATATGTGTGCATGCGGACGGCACAAAAGCGGCTGTGTTTATACTTGTTGCGCTCCCGCCGAATGCATTCCCACACTTGAACATGACACCGCCTATCTTCTTCATCTGCGGAAGAGAGATCAAGTGATACGGCAGAGAGGAAAGGGTGTCTGAGAGAAACTGAGGTGTAGGTACGTGTGCGCACGTGTGCGAACACACACTAAGAGCGATGAGAATCGGTGCCAGCTGATGATGTAACCTTTTCCACCACCCACACCCCCTTTCCCCCTTTGTTCTCCTCTTCCTCTGGCCGATGTACAACAAGCCTCTAGCTACTGTCTCCTACATTGCAATTTACCGTCATTTACTGCAAAGCTCAATCATCAGCTGACCTCCTTTTCACCTCATCACCTTTTCACCTCCGCGGAATTAAAGTGAGGACAAGCGCAGGGAGAGGAGTGGAGAGACAGACGAGAAGGAGAGCAGGAAGATTACAATAAAAACAGAGGAGGACAAGATGGGAAGAGAGGGACAAACACAAAGCTGCCGAGCGGATCAGACAATGATGTCAGTCGGAGACGTCAGCTCCAGCCTAAGCATCATAAGTCTCCCTGCGCGCCGGCTCCAGTCCCACTAAATGCAACACTAATGTTAAAAAGCTTGTTGTCTCAGCACTGCGAGGCCAGGCTAATTCAATTAGCCGCTACACTTGTTCGACATGTTATATGAGGGTCAGACCACCCTTCAGAGTGGACACATACAGTACATGGCCTGCAGTCCGGCACAAACACATAAAGCATTTTTGTGACTTACCTCTGAGAGAAAGGTCTGTGCTGACTTCTGTGCTCCTACATGCAGCAGGTACTCGTACACATAAAGAGCCAACCTGCACAAACAAAGAACAACAGCAGGACAAAAGATGAAAGAGGCAAACAGATATGAGGCGAGTAAGCAAGAGACAGTGAAAACAGTCTTAGTTTTACAAGCAGGCAAAAATTAGAGCAACTACTAAGCACTTGCAAATCTCCAAATATTGAAATAAATAAGTTTTTCTCTGGGTGTTTGAGACAAATCCATACATAGTGGGAAACTGCACTAAAGACGAACACCTAGGCGTGGATACAATTGCCAGGCAGCCAGGCAGGACTAGAATCCTGTATGAGGAGATGAGTGAAAACTTCAGTCTGTTAGAATTCCCATGGGAAACACAAAGACACACTCTAACTTAGGAGCAATATTCCTGCCCCCAAATTGCCAAACAGACAGGACAACCATTAAAAACATTCGAAATTCACGCAACATATAAGCTAAAACAACACAGTGATAACAGTAGGCCTGGTGGGACCACACTGAGAAATACCTCACCTCAATGCCTTGGGCTCTCCATGGACTTCCTCCCATGGCTTTGATCACAGTAAGAATTAATTACAGGCTTGATTTGTTAATCAATTCTCCTCCCTGTGAGCCTCTCCTGGTACTAACAGCAACTTAGGAAATGGAGGACGGGGTAATCTACTGGTCTATAAATACAAGGTAAAAATTGATCTACAGGGGATCAACAGCAGATCTCACTGACTCCTAATGGCACTGCGTAGATTTAGAGATTTAGCCATTGTAAGAACACAAAGTAACTCTACAGGGATATGAACATGATCAGCGTATTTAGCAGTATTAGTACAAAAAACTATTCTGTCAGATGTTTGTATACTCAGTGGGCTTGATGTGTGCTGAAACAGCAATGTATTAATACAATTGTGTTATATATGGCTTCAATTAAATGACTAATCTGTTGACTATTTCTCAGTGAATCAGTGTGTCGCTGTCTAATGCATACCGCTGGAAAACTGCCAACATTTCTATCATCATTTTTAAAGATTATGGGGACATAGTGAAATAGTTCTCCAGACTTTCTGAAGGTCTTTCAAAGTTTTTCTTTGGACATTGGTTGCTTTTTCTCTCATTTTAAGTCCAGTCTGCATATTTGGCCATTTTCAGAGACATGTTTTTTGATTTTTTTTGTTCGTTTCTTAAGCCACTTAATATTGACCTATGAATCATCCAAGCATAGAAAGGCACCTAAACAGTGTGGTGTCTACATATAACAGCAAAAAGACAGTTTTAAATCTTTGGGCAATTTGTTACTAGCATTTTGTTGCAAACCCCCCCAAAAAAACTAGAAAGAAAACACAAAATTTCTCCTCATTTCTTTAGCTGAATCTATGACAAATGCCAAAAGACAGAAGATAACACAGTTTGACAGACATGAAATGGTAGTTTGACAGCAAATACTATTTGCTCTCAAAATATATTTAACGCAATGCTACTTCCACAGAATCATTAGTGATTCCCAAAGTGCTATTAGGTGAAAACCTGGTAAATCCAGACACGATGTGGAGCATCCATCCACAAAGGTTTCTACAGAAACAGTCTTAGTGGAAGGCTGGCCCATAGGAAGCAATTCTTAAGGGAAACAGGGAGAAAAGGCTAAGGTACATCAAATTACACAAGATGTGGACTGAAAATCTGTGGCAGGTCTGATGGAGTGATGAATCCAAACTGGAAAATTTTGGTTCAAATCATCATCAAATCATCGCTGCTAATCATCACGGACAGAAAAACACAGTGAAACCCTATCAGCCATAGATTGGCTTCCCCAGAGCCCAAACCTCAACTTTATTGAAGCAGTGTGGGATCATCGTGACAGAGAACGGAACAAAGGGTACGAGGAACCGCAGAAGAGCTTTAAATGTTCTTCAAAAAGCCTGGAGAACTATTCCTGAAGTCTACTTAAACAAATGACACCAGAGAGTTCAGACTGTGTTGGAGACTAAAGCTGATTATACCAACATTTTTTTCAAGCTCATTAGAATTGACCACACTCTGTTTTTGCCATATGTACTGTATTTCCATGTGAGTTTACAAGTTTCAATTAATTGTTGGACCCGTTTCCCATTTTCCTACCAAACTATAAAGAAATGATGGAGTGGTACAAGACTTTTGCAGAGTACTGTACTGTTGTATATGACGAAAGACGATTCAAACACACATCTGAGAAGCCTTAAACATGATGCATCGAGCGCTTTGAGCTGGAGCTTGGAGCTTTGTACGTTAGTGGGTTCAACTTTCTGAAGGCATGAAGCCATGAACGATGGCCACACTGGGACAGCAGCTGTCCTAGAACACCCCCACCCACTGAAAGGTGCTACCAGCTTGTTGTAGCAGATCCAGACTCTTACACCGAAGTAAAAATAAACTCCCCAGACAGCTCTGTCTGCCTGTCTGAAGATGATGGACTGCACACCTTTCTGCTATGCACACAGGTACTCTGTCTGCGGCCCCCACCTCCTCCGTCCCTCTCCTTTATTTCCATCTTTCTTCATCGCTTTCATCCTTCGTCTACCTCCCCCTCCTCTCCCTTTCACTCTGTGCCTTTTCTGTCTTGGTTTCGTCTTGCACCCTTTTTTATTTTTTATTTTTTACAGAGGCCATGTTTGTTTAACGATGAAAGGACGAGGAGGTAACCTCTTTCCGTCTATCCTTCCCCTCCTATATCCATCTCTTCTTCCCCATGTCCCCTCTCCTCCCCCCGTGGCCGGGCTGTAATGTGTAACCAAAGAGATAGAGACAGAACGTTTCACAGGGACAAGGTTAACAGAACAATGAGAGGCTTGACAAAACTCTTGACACCTCGACAACTGAACATGAATAAAAGATGTGCCCGATGTGTGTTTTTTTTTTTTTTCCAAGGCGCTGCACAACCCCCGAACATTTCTAGGAACGAACTTGCTCCGTCGCTCTGTTCTGCTTCGTTTTCCTGTCAGCCTGTCGAAATCTGTCACTCCCTCCTGTGAACCCCACCGCCAGCCACTGCAGCATCAGTATAGAACTATTTATTAATACTGACAGATCGCATGTATCTGCAGTGAATACATTCGTAGCGATGATGACAACCTGATGGGCTGCATGAATGAATTTGTTGTGTCAGTGGGAATAAATAAAGAAATGAAAGCTTGTTCTCAGCATGCACCAGTTTGTTTTCAGTCAGCTATCTATTACTATGCTAAATACAGCCTCGCATGGTAGCTGCCTCGGATAAAGACTTAAAGGTTTTAACCTATGATTGATTTCACAGAGGCTCCGCGCTGTGACCTTTGGTCCTAATAGAGAGGTGGGAATCGAAGGAAGTGAGGAAACCTAGGAAAGGTGGATAGAAGAGGGCAGTAGTGGCAAAGGTGATGCAGTTTTTTTTTAAAAAAGAAGTGAAACCACAGGTACATATGCTATTACAAGTTTTGGAGAGGTGATGAAAGAAAGGGAAAAAAGAAGGAAGACTTGGTTCATTTTTGACCTTAAATACAGGGAGTTTAAAGGCGTAAAAGCTTGCAAAATACACCCATAACACCCTCCTTCTCTTAGCACACACCAACAGGTGGAGTTTAAACGTGACTGATAAGCAGAAAGCAACAGAGCAGATATTGGTAGCACTCGATATCTGCCTAACTTTAACTCACAACTACTCATTTCCTCCAAGACGAGTGATAGGCTTTGAAAGCACTAAATCCCTTCATGCTGTTGCCTCATTGTTCACTTACCACTTGTTCAACTTGCTCACTTACCACAAGCAGCTACAAGGAACTCGGTAGGACGACGGAGCCCAAACACTGAGCAGAGATAACGTTTGAGGATTAGAGGATGGGGGACTGTTCAAGGTTAAGAATCCTCTAAATTTGATACATTAAAATGAAAACATGACAATGGCTCTCCTGTCACGTTAAATAAACTGTCACTTTAAGTCATATCTGTGGGCAGCAGTGCTCAAATTGAGGCAGCCAATGATTTTCGAAATGCTCCCTGACTCCATATTAGTCCATACACACTGAAGTTTTGAGGCGTTTGCCCTTGCTGACGGACACGCACGTTTCTTTCCATTTCTTACCTGACTACTCTGGCAATTTCTGTTGTAAATATGAAGCACTTTACATTAATCAAAGCTGCAGCTAGAATGATTAGAGTGCTGGGCCCCTCCCGCTTTGTTTCCACTCCATGCTGCTCGTAAGCGTGTGCACAAATGCACTTCTGGGCGTGTTTTGCGTCACGGTGGTGGTTCTAGCAGAGAAGGCATAGGCAGAGGAGAGGGGTGAACTTTCAGGTCTCCAAGTGACCCATTTATCCTTCAAATTCAAGTGGTTCCGTCTTCTCTGAGTCACATCTAATTAAATTCATATTTCAAGCCGAACCCCATCCCGGCTGCTCTCGCAAAAATCTACAAGACCAGACAGCTGCAGCAAGCTCATACAGTCAGAGACTGAGCTTAGCTTAATGAAGGCAGCAGGCAGAAACACTGACCAGTTTCTACGCAGTCTTGTAACAGAGCCACCGTTGCTGTTACCAGGCTGTCGAACAGAGAGGAAATCAGGGAAAGGAGAGCTATCTCGGAGCTCAACCACAACCTCAGCTTAAAGCGAAGACATGAAGCTTTTTTTTCCTCAGGATCAGCATTTAGGAGACCAACAGATCACTGCTAATCAATTTACTGCCATGGCGATCAAAGTCTGGCAGAGCTTCAAATCACAACAGGCAATGGTTTCAGTGATTAGGTTTGCCTATTATAGATTAGCTTCAGAATATTTCACCCTTGTTAAAGATGAAATGGAAAAGCGATTATACTTCTCATCTGAATCGACACGTTAAGTGACATATATCCAGGACTCAATACTGTGCTGACATGGCCTAATTACATATTTGACCAGGAAAATCAAATTAAATGTTATATAAGTGAAAAGGGAAGCAATCAAATCCTTACTGCCAGTAAGCAATCTTCATTAATGATTTTTAGCAGTCTGTATTACCAAAACTGCATTATTGGGAAAACTGCTGGGTGCCGGT